GAGCATCTAGAATACAACCAGGTGCCCACAAGGGATGCTAGTGCATACAAGACAAGGATTAATTCACTGAGTCATCATGCCGGGCCTGGGGATAGACCCTGGCTTTTTTGTTTGTTTGTTTGTTTTGTTTTTTTGTTGGAAAGGCAGATATACAGAAAGGGAGACAGAGAGGAAGCTCTTCTGTCCGATGATTCATTCCCCAAACGGCTGCAACGGCTGGAGCAGAACCAATCCGAAGCCAGGAGCCTCTTCCGGGCCTCCAAAGCGGGTGCAGGGTCCCAAAGCTTTGGGCTGCCCTTGGCTGCTTTCCCGGGCCACAGGCAGGGAGCTGGAAGGGAAACAGGGCTGCCGGGGGATTATAACTGGCGCCCATATGGGATCCCAGACGTGCAAGGCAAAGACCTTAACCACTACACCATTGCGCCGGGCCCCGGGATAGACCCTTAATCAAAATCTGCTGTCTCCAAGTAACTAGAACTTTCTGCAAATACATACTGTATGCAGGACACTGGGTGTTGTTTAGAGATGGTGAGAAAGGAATTCAATTCTAGAATATCTTAATTGCAGTTGGGCATTTAACCTGCCACTTAAGATGACCATGACTCACAGTGGGGTATCTGGGTTCAATTCCCAACTCCATTCCTGACTCAGCTCCCAGTGCACATGCTGGGAGGGAGTAGTGGTGGCTTGGGTGCTTGGGCTTCTGCCACTCACATGGGAAGCCTGGATGGAGTTCCAAGCTTCTAGCTTCAGCTAGGTCCACTCTCAGTCAGGGGGACTTTTGCAGAGAGAACTAGCAGAGAAGAGCGTTCTCAGCCTCTCAAAAATAAAATCTTAATTACCTATTTTGTGTTAATCACAATGTTAGGCCTAGGGATATAGAGAAACAGAGACAACTTTGGTGACAAGGAGGTCATCTTACAGTCTGGGGGGGGGGAAGTGGAAATATAAAAAACAAACAAACAAACAAACAAAACAAATGATGGGACCAGCGCCATGGCACAGCAAGCTAAGCCTCTTCCTGTGGGGCCAGTATCCTGTATGGGTGCCAGTTTGTGTCCTGGTTGTTCTACCTCTAGTTCAACTTTCTGCTAACATTCCTGGGAAAGCAGTGGAAAATGGTCCAAGCCCTTGGGCCGCTAGGCCTATGTGGGAAACCCAGAAGTAGCTCCAGGCTCCTGGCTTTGGACCAACTCAACTCTGGCCATTTAGGCCATCTGGGGAATGAACCACTAAATGGAAGCTCTCTGTCTCTCTGTTCTATTCCTCTGTCTGTAATTCTGTATTTCAAATAAAGAGTAAATACATTAAAAAAAAAAAAAGAAGAAAAAGAATGACATGTACATGCAGAGTACACAGAGGGGAGGAGCACTGAGCTTGGAAAATTTTGTGGGCAGGGTCACTGATGTGAATCCTGGGATTAAACAGTGCACTTTTCTGTGTTGGACCTTTCTTCTTTGTAGGAGTACAACAGCTCAGCCCACCATTTTTGAGTCAACTAAAGATCAGAGTGAAATAAAACTTGAAAAGCAGGCATAGAATTCCTTCCCTTTTTTTCCTTCCCCCTGAACAATGACTGGTTGTGACCCTTAGATCCTCTTGTCCCTAATTAGATGCTGGAGATGCTAACCAACCTTCCAATAAACTTCCCTGGAATTATGGCTTTTATGGGATCATGCAGACATGAAAGAGGGTCGACTCTGTCCAGTGACTATACAGGTCAAAGAACAACAGAGGCTGCTGGAGACTAATACATTGAACTACAGTTCTGTTTATTTATTTATTTTTTTTACTAAAAAAAGAAAAAAAGATCAAATGGGTGAAAACCCAGAATTTTATAGAGTGCAGGAGATCAGCTTTTAGCGTTCACCTGAGCGGGATGGCGAAGCAACCAGGATTGCTTCAAGAGAGGGTGAACTCTGACCTCTAGGAGTATGAAAGGTAGAGTGGACTCCACGCGTGAGTCTGAGAGACATGCAAAAATGGCCTGCGGGTGATGGAGCAGTCCCCTCCCCATAACCAAGAATTACTGCTGAAGACTCTGCTTGATGTCTCTTTGCTCTATTCCCAGCCCTTAAGAACTGCTGGATCTTTCCTTGACAGAGCAGTCATCACCAGTAAGCCTTCTAGCCCATAGTATGAAATAGAAGTCTTCATGTATGGCCCCATTCAAGTGTCAGAAGTTAACTATTACTGATATTTAAGGGGATTTCAAAAGGTTCATGGTAAATGGCATTAAAAGACAAAGTGAAGTTTCTAGGAACTTGTTGACAGTCCCTCTTGTGTTTAGGTTTCTTATATGGAAGTTATCAGCAACAAATGTCCAACTCCAATTTTAGTCTTTCCTTGTAGCCATTACATTCATGAAGCACTCCCTTTCCTACCATTCAACGTTCACTCTAGCAACGGCAACTATTTTTTTTATTAAGCTAAGAAAAAATGCAATGATAGATAACTGTCCTTCAATCTCCTCACCCAAAGTGGTAACATATACTAAAAGCATATATATGTGTGTGTGAATATATATATATATATTAAATTATCTTTGGGGGCTGTCATTGTGGAGGAGAGTTAACCCACCACCAGTAATGTCAGCATCCTATTTAGGAGCACCAGTTTAAGTCCCAGGTGCTCCACTTCCCATCAAACTCCCTGCTGATGTGTCTGGGAAAGCAGTGAGAGATGACCTAAGTGGCTGGTCCTCTACCATTTACATAGAATGGAGTTTCAGGTTCCTTGCTTCAGCCTGGCAGGGTCCAATTCATTGTAGACACTGGGAGAATGAACCACTGGATGGAAGCTTTATCTTTCTGTCTTTCCCTCTTTCTTTGTAACTGTGCCTTTCAAATAAACACATTTTTAAAAACAAATTATATTTTGCCTTAAATGTTTTTCATTCCTCATTGTTCATAATCAGTAGTTGATATTTAGAATAGTAGAGTCTTCAGAAAGTTCATGGAAATGCATATTATGAAAAACTGTGTCTGGATTTTAAAAAATTTGTTTTGCACCAAGGTGAACGTATTCTTCAATTCCATTTTCCCAGGATTCTTTGAAGTATTGTCATGTTAACTTCAGAGTCCACTTTTTTTTTTTAAGATTTCTTTATTTTTATTGAAAAGTCAGATTTACAGAGAAAGATCTTTCATCCGTCGGTTCATTCCCCAAATGGCCACAACGGTCAAAGCTGAGCTGATCCGAAGCCAGGAGCCAGGAACTTCTTCTGGGTTTCCCACGTTGTAGGGTCCCAAAGGCCAACCTCTACTGCTTTCCCAGGCCACAAGCAGGGAGCTAGAAAAGAAGTGGAGCTTAAGGCTCTGAATGACTTGAACTTAAACATACACCCATCCTTGCCTATTTTGTCTTCCAAACAGTTTTGTCCTCTTCAGGACGCCATACTAACGGATAGCATCTTCAGCACTGGTTTGGAGAGTGATACGCTTGTACCAATGTGAACTATTTTTCTTCCTTTTTTTTTATTTCTCATTTTATTTGAAAGATAGAGAAACACAGGATTTCCATCCCAATTCACTCCCCAAATGCCTGCAATAACCAAGGCTGGGCTGGAGCTGGAGCCAGTAGCCAATAACTCTATTCAGTTCTCCCGTATGAATGTCAGGAACCCAAGTTGAGTGATTCCCCCGCTGCCTCCCGGGGTCTGCATTAGTAGAAAACTGAAGTGATGAGCCAGAACCATGGTGAGTCTGACTCATGTACTCTGATGTGGGATGTAGGCCAAACATTCATTTCCCGTCCTATTTCATTATATGCCCTCACATTCCTCCACAAGGAAAAGACCCAGCACAAAACAATTATCTATTCTTATCAACAGTGGAATACTTTCTATCCTCATTACACAAATTCCTTAGGAACAGAGACACTCCTTTAAATCTCAACAGCTTCCTAGATATGTAATTTTTTTTTAACGAAAGTTACCATTTCTGGAATCAATTCATATTACATCTTTGCACACTGGTCCACACAGGAGATTCTAGAGATCATTCCCAATAAAGTCAACCAAGAGTCCCAGCCCACCCTGGGAGCTCTGTGGCAGCTAGCACAGTAATTCACGCTTTGGTAATTCTTTCCTTTATAAAGAAGATAGAATATTACAGAAACAGCTTCAAAATTCACACCTGAGTTAAACATTTTGCTGGAACTTAATGCAATACCAGAAGGGGCTATATACAGTTGCTTTTTTTTTTTTTGCCAGCATAATGGTTGTGTGGTCCTCCTTTGTATTCAAGAGAAAGTGTAGAGAAAGGGAAAAGGAAGCAGCCAGGGAGGAAGTGGAAGAACAAAACTCCTGGACCCTGGGAAGATGAGAGCAGAGATAGGAGCACCTGTGGCAGAGCAGCGTGTCTAGTACTGAGGGCCACTCAGCCTTCTGCAAAGAGAAGAAAAACAGAAAGATTTGGGTACAGAAAAGGGGGTGAAGTCAGACAGGAAATGGGGCAGAGCAAAGCTTCAGCCAGAAAATTCTGCTGAAGAACAGAGAAACCACCAAGACTTGGGTGAACACATTAGCTGCAGCTCTTCTTGCGGATCTCATAAAATTAGTTCAGAATTATGACTAAGTTCAGAGTGAAGGCCACTCTCTCCCCTTCTGGTCATTTGGCTCACCAGACTAGTGGCTGTCCCCATAAGCCAACAGAAGAGTCAGAGAATGCAAGAAGTTCTTTCTCTGGAAGATGTCTGCCACATTGAAGCCATCTGAAGTATTCTGGGTTAGAAGGTGCTGGCCCAGGCAAGGAAGGTAACAATTGCAAGCTCCCAGGACAGCAGTGTGCATGCTTCAGGAGCTTTAGGCATCAGCACAGGGTTCTATCACAGTTTGGCTCTCCAGACCCCTTGTTCCTGAAGAAGACAAGAGCGTGGGTTCACCAATGATGGGCTCTTCTTCCACTTCTCTGAAAGTAATCTGTACATACAGAGATGGTACGGCCCCCATTTTCCTTGGGGAAACACAGGGTCAGGTGGCACGGGAGGAGTTTTAGGTCTCAGTGGAGGTAGGTGGGGTGATTCCATCGGTACCAAGATCTGAAAGGAAGAATGGGACAAGTGCATTCTTAGCTTACTAATGCAATAGGGGAAGTTGGGAACAGGGTAAAGGGTATTGGAGCTCCTTGGGGGATAATGAAAATGTCTGAAAGTAAACCATGGCAAAGATTGCCCAACCTTGTGAAAACAAACAAACAAACAAACAAACCATAATTATGTACTTTAAAATGGTACATTTTGGGGTGTTTATCCTAGCAGCTAAGGTCTGCATCCTCTATTGAGATAATCAGCTGCAGCAACTATATCCAGCTTCCTTTCATCATAGAACTTCGGAGGCAACAGTGATGGCTTAAGCAGTCGGGTCTTGCCACTGACCTAAAAACATGTGGATATACTTCTCAGCTCCTGGCTTCAGCTTGGTTCAGACCCAGCCACTCCAGGCACTAGGGCAGTGAAAATGTGATTGGAAGCTCCATCTCTATATCTCTGCTTCTCAAATAAATAAATGTATATTTAATGATTAAATATTCTGGTCAGTGTAGTACACAACATAACAATTGTTGAAAAACTTCAAATATCAATGATACGGTTCTTTCTCCCCTCCTTCCCTCCATCTCTCTCTCATTGGCGGGGTCGGGGGGAGTTGGTGAGGAACTCTAACATTTGTGCTTTGCCACAACTGGCCAATTAAGAGCAGGGTGGCTGCCTTGCTGAACTGCTGGGTTTTGAACACACAGATTCACATGCGCTGACAAACTCAGGTCTAACTTTCTGATTTGTTTTGCTTTGACTGGGGAAGAACTTCTCAAAGCACTGGCTTTGAGAATTTCTTTTCTAAGTAGTTTCCTTGACCCAGGGGACAGCTTTCCTGTCTGCACTGCACCCCCAGTGGGTGCAGGAGGCAGTGATCAATTTCACATGACTCTTCCCTACATCAACTACACCCATAGCCTGGGCTTTTTTTCTTTGCCCCTCAGCTTGAGGCTCATGTCAGAGCATTCTGAGAACTGGGATTCTGACTTGGATTGGAGCTGAAGCCCAGCAGAGCCCTGGCGCTTCCCAACAGGAGCATCTGGAAATTTCCACCCTCCAAGAGGGGATAGAAATGCTGGCTTTGTTGACACCAGCTCCTTGCCAGCTTCACTCACTGGCTGAGGCTTCTTTTGGCAATTCCCACTCCACGGGGATAAAGTCCCGCATGGCTTTCCACTCTGCCCCTCCCAGTTACCCATTCCCCATTTTCTCCCTGTAAATCCTGTGACCAACTGTCTGACCCAACAGCTGCTCATGTGGCCTTCAGCCCTGCAGGAACCTCTCTGCACTCTGCACCACCCTATCTTACCCTGAAGAGTTAAAGTTGGAGGAGGAGTTCACTGCAGCTTTGGAGTTATTTTGAGACGCAGTGGGGCTGTTGGCGTGGAGTCCTACACCGGGAGACGAAGGCCTGCTGTTGTTCCCAGGGGAACAGGATGACGTTACTGAGGACAAGAAGAGGCACAAACAAGAGGAAAACAATGCTGTTAGGTCCTGGGACCTTGTGACATGGCCCTCCAGACACTGGACCTCCTGGTGCATCCCCAAGGGAAATTCACCCTCTTTCTACCCACCCCACACCCATCTGTCTGCCTCCATTCAACTTAGCAGCAATCCTGCCCCCACCCCCACCCGCAGCAACCATTTATCCCCAGAAGGCATCCCATCATGAATGTGAATGCAGCCCAGGCCCTTGGAGAGCAGTGTGGCTGGTTCTACCAGTCTAAGACTTGCCAAACACAAGAAAGACAGATGCCAAGATCATCCTACTCAAGGACACACCCTGGGCTGGGCATATGCAGTCCTAGCCCAAGAGGTAAGAAGAGAAAAATGAAAAAGAAGCCTAGGAAAGGGAAGAGAAGAGGAAGGAAAGAAAGGTGTGTCAAGGAGAAACAGACCCAGGGAACACAAAGGCTGCTGGCTCATCAGCAACAGGTTCATGCACCACTCGAGAGAGGGCGCTGCAGTGGAAGGGAAGGGACCTGGGCCCTGACTTGGTCCTGGGCCATTTACCCCAGAGTGCTGTCACCTGCACGGACTTGCTACACCTTCTGAAATTCATTTTCATCTTTTGTGAAACAGCAGGGAATTCTTGTGTTTGGGTTCCCCAGACTATGTAGCAAAACATACTTATCCATCCAAACTAAAACTTCTGACATGTAGCAGAGACTATACATTAAGAACTATGTCAGGGTGTGGGGCTGACACTGGGACCACCCTGGATACCCTTGGACAGAGGATCACTTTTTTAGTTTTTTGAAATGCTATTGGTACATTTTGAAAAACAGTTCTGAGGCAAGCATGGTGGTACAGCAGCCTGTGACACTGGCATCGATATGGGCACTGCTTGAGTTTTGGCTGCTCCACTTCCGATCCAGCTCATTGTTAATGGCCTGGGAAAAGCAGTGGAAGACTCAAGTACTTGAGCCCCTGCAACCTTGTGAGAGAGTCTGAAGGCGTCTGTCTGGCTTAGCCCTAGCCATTGTGCCCATGTGGGAAGTATACCAGCAGGTAGAAGATTTCTCTGTCTCTCCCTTTCTCTCTCTGAAAGTCTGACTCTCAAAATAAATTATTTAAATTAATATTAAACATTTGAATAGTAATAAAAATATCCCATAGAAAATAAGTTTGGATAATTTTATCTCCTTCAGCCCTTCCACACAACTCGTTTTAGAATCTAGAAGCCTTGGAGTACTGAGAGCTAAGCACTGTAATGTGAACCAAAACAACAAACAAAAAACCACATACACTTGCTTAAATTTTGATTACTTGACATTTCCCAAACCTAATCCAATACGGAAACTAATTTTTCGTAGGACAGATTTTAGAGTCCTTTGCAATATACTTGGGGACTGCTGACTGGGGCAGGACTCTTTCAGAAACCATTATCTAAAACAGTTCTAATTCAAAGCTTACCTGTTCCAGGCATGGTGCTATGCACGGGAGGGACAGAGAGGGGACCCAAAGACCCTGAGGGAGAGACCTAAAAGGCAAGAGAAACTTATGAATATCCATTCCTACCGCCTTCTCCAGTTTTGGGTCCTTCTCCAGGGCTGCCAAGCTGCAGACTTAGCGGGCTTAGCTCCCTTGATGCTTTCCCAGACCCTTGGGAAAAGCCTACACTTGGCCCTTCTTTACAATGGAAGACCTCTAGGCCACCCACAGGTATCCAGCTCCCTGCATCTTGCCTGTTCTAGAAGCTCCCTAGTGCTCCCAGGGTCCTCTTCTCCTCTCCCTATCCTTGGCTGCCTTGCCTGAATATCCTGGCCATGAGAGGGCATGGGCTTCTGAGATTGTGTTGTGGCAGACACGGCTGGTGGGCTACCTCATTTCCAGTTTTGTTTCTCCCTTGCTAAAAAAAAAACTGAAACAAACAAACAAACAAAAAACCCTGCTTGTGTTCAGGGCAGTCAAGTGCCCTGGCAAGTGCCCTGGCAAGATGCTCCAAGTTTTCCAGGCATGATGGATGAAAGAATGGACCATGGATTCTCTGGAGATATAACTGAAGAACTTCAGTCTCTGATATGCTTCATGTTGCCTGGGAGACGGCATTGCATCGCCAAGTCTGAGATTAGAAAGGGACCTAAGATAATTGAGTTTAACCTTCTGTGCAATCCAGGAAGCACACACGCTCTCTGTGGCTATGCTACAGGCACAGAGAGAACAGACTTTAAACCCAACAGACCTGGGTGTGAGCCCTGGCTCTATCATTCAACCATCTGCGTGACTTAGGGCAAGTTGCCTCCTCCTGTGAGATCTTTCTTCCTTACTTGAAAAATACAGCCTTTATCGTCTCTTTGAATTAAGATTTAATAGGCTAATGCGCACAGTGCTTCCACCCCAGTGACTACCAAACAGAGTGTTAGTTTCCTTCTACCAGTGTCTGTGTATCTCCAGATACCCTTGACACCTGCTTCAGACTGAAATCTGCAAGTTTCTCATGCTGGTGAGGGATGCTCCCGAGAACACTGGCAGGCAGTTGTGCCTGGGGAGCTGTGGTTTCATTGTTCTCCCCTCCGTGCGCTGGAAGATCCCCTGCGACAGGATGCAGCATGTCCTCATTTTCTAATTAATCAGCAGTGGTCTGGCTGCTTCGTTTTACCATGAGCATCCTCAGCAGGCTGGAGGCCCATGATGGGTGGAGACAGGGGTGGGGCATAGGTGTTGGGAGGGGTGGCAGAGCGGGAAGAGATATTATCAATAATTTCTCCTCCTCCCTTCTCTTCCTCCCCACCCTGTTGGTCACACCCAAGAAGTTGGTTGTTGTTTGAAAATAAAGAATAACACATTTAGTCGCTGTGACCTGCTTCTTCCATTTCCTTCTTCTGGAGCCAGGCAGTCCCCACACAAGCATATGCAAGTGATGGAGCCCCTTCTGCTGTTCAGATGAGATCGGGCGTGTTCAGGTGGTATGGCCGTAGTCCTTCTACTGTTCAAACACCGGGTTAGCATTCTGCTCACACTGGTCCACAGGATTCTGATTTCTTGTCTTTGAATTAATGATAAGTCTAGGAGATCATTTCACATCAGCAGTGGAAGAAATGATGTTCTAGTCCAGAGAAACTGTGCTACTGAGACCTGAGTTGGAGATGGGTTGAGAAACTTTTTCCATCTTCCTGCTTCATAGTATCATCCCAGAATAACAATTTCTTTAACACCTTTCTTTTCCAGTTGGCTGACAATGTCACATTGCACCTCCCATGCCTTCTTTGGTGTCTGGGTCCTTGCAGTAAGTGTGCCAGTTGAATACTGATAACCACAGAGGCATCTTCATGGCTCCTCTATGCCTCTTACCATTCCTCTCAATGTTGGTGTCTTTGGTCTGAACCAAAGCAAGAACCTATCTTTTTTTTTTTCTGCTCTAACCAAAACCCCATTTTTATGCTTCCTAAAGTTTTTAGAACATGGGCCAAGTTCATTACCATGGCATACAACACCCTATGTAATCCACCCCCTGCCTATTGTTCTGGTCTCTTTATCCACTCTGGCCTCTGCTCCCTGGCATTCAGTCCTCTTCAGCTTCTCCATGCTTCCTCTCCGCTCACCTTCATGCCTCCCTCCCCAAGCCTCAAAGCTTTTGTACAGACTTCCTTCTCCATCTAGAATGTTCTTCCTTACATTTGCTCCTCCCCGCACCTTCCCAGCTCAAATACTTTCTCCACCAATGTCAACTGTGACAGTCATCATTCTGATATTTGTTTAAACATTCCTGAAAGAACTCTGACACTGTGAACCAAGTTAGATCTCTCAAACCCCTGTCTGTGTTCTCCAAAAGATAATTAAAAAAAAAAACCCATGCATTCAGTGTTTGTTTTTCCCATTAAACTTTAATCAGGGCCTCTACATGTGTCATACACCACCTCTAATGTCAAACATGTATGGATGAATACCATGCTGCCTCCAATTCAAATCTTTAGCATACATAACCCATCACTACCCAGCACTCCCCAACCTCTCAAAGCTGTAACCTCCAATCCTTGACTCCCATCAGACTCTCCAAAGCTATCATGTTGCCTTATGATTCCATGACTTCTCCCATGTTAGCCCTTCTGTCTCAAAAGCTACTCATACTAATTTCTCATCTGCTCTTCAAACAAGTTAGAGGTCTACCCTGTGAATCCCATTAGGGTTTGGGTATCCTTCATCCGTGTCCTGAGACACTACCATTTGGCTGTAGTCCAACACCTCTCATACCTATTTGGTTACAGTTCTTTGCCTTTCCCAGCTCCTTGCCAGTTTCTCCCCTTCATCTTTTTCCTTTGCTTATCCTGCCGAATGCTGATAGCACCCAGGGGTTTGGACAGATTTTTTTCTTTGCTTCCTCTATTCAAACTCCACAGCAGAGCCTCTCCTAACCCAGGATCCCAACCATGGCCTGCATGTTCTTGACTCCCCAATCCATGTCTCCAACTTGGACTACTCTCCTCACCTCCAGACTTGTAAGTCCACATATTTGAGGGCATTGCCACTTGGGTATCATACAGGCCTCCCTGTATATCATAATGTTTTAAATCTTTCAGATTATCACTTTATAGGATGGTGTACAGTGCTTCAAGTTAAACTGTCTACATCCCATGTTGGAATCTTGGCTGGAGTCCCAGTTGCTCTACTTCCAATCTAGCTTCCTGAAGAAGAAGGTACTTGGGCCTCTGTCACTCTGTGGGAAACCCAGGTGAAACCCAGGCTACTGACTTCAGCATGGCCTAGATCTACCTGTAGCAGCCATTTAAGGAGTGAATCAGTGGAAAATTTCTCTCTTTCTCTCTCCCTTCAATAATAGTAAAATAAGTAAATCTTTAAAGAAGAAAAAGGCATCATCACTTTTGTCTACTTCCAAACAAATTTCATTCCTTTGCTTGTTCCAAAATTCATACCACTGTCTATCTCATTCATTCAGTCTGAACACAGAGGTTCATCTCAAAGGATTCTCTTTCTTTCACCTCCCAAATTAACCAAGAGTTTCTAATGATCTATTGTTCTCTCCCATCCCCCTTAATCTTTTTGTCTTAAGATTTATTTATTTATATTGGAGAGTCAGATATACAAAAAGGAGGAGAGACACAGAGAAAGATCTTTTGCTAATGATTCACTTCCCAAGTGGCTGCAACGGCTGAAACTGGACGGATCTGAAGCCTCTTCTGGGTCCCAAGGCCTTGGGCTATCCTTGACTGCTTTCCCAGACCTTAGGCAGGGAGCTGGATGGGAAGCAGGGCTACTGGGATTAGAACCGGTGCCCATATGGGATCCTGGAGTATGCAAGGTGAGGACTATGCCAGGATCCCATCTCTCTTATTCTTGCCATGCAGGTTTGCTTTATCCTCATTCTTCCTCTTTTGGGAACCTATAGTTGCATCTTAACTGTCTCCCTGGAACCAATCCTGTGTCTCTTATGCCATTCATAATCATCCAGTCAGAGTGCTCATCATAAAAAGCACCCACGTGGGAGACCCGGAAGAAGCTCCTGGCTCTTGACTCCTGGCTTTGGGCTGGCTCAACCCTAGTCACTTCAGCCTTTTGGGGAGTGAACCAAATAGGTGGAAGAATTCTCTCTCTACAGCCTCTCTTTCTGCAACTCATTTGAATAAAAAAATAAATTTTTAAAAAGGAGAACTAAATCTGATCACACCAGTGCCCTGCCGAACATCCCTCTTTAATGTCCCAGCCCTTCAGTTTTCACATAATCCCGGACCATCTGCCTCATCTCTCGGCATTCCTCCACATAGCCCCTTGTAGTTCCCCGCATGTGACATGTGTGTTCTCCAGCTCCAGCTCGCTCTTCTCCTCTTTTCCCTTGGTGAGAGCTCCATTCCACGCTTGTTTGTCTCTGTTCCTTCCTGTCATTTGGACTATGTGCAGGCATTAATTACCTCCCTGGGGAAGCCTTCCCTAACCACCACCTCCCAAGGTTTGCCAGCTCTTGCTTCCAGTGTCTTCTAGAGAAACAATCATGGTGTTTATCATTTGTTTATTCATCTGTATCCTCTGCTAGGCAGTCAAGTTCAAGGAAGAAAAAATATTGATCTTTGCATCCATAGCACATGGTCAAAGGGCCCATATACTGTAGATGGCCAATAGATGCTTAGGGGACGAATCTACACTGGTGTCATTTTGATGAGGCTCAACAGCATGCAGTCCTGGGTACTGAAAGAATTCAGGGAAATGTTTCCCAAACCTCCTCAACCTCCAGCCTGCCACTGTCTCCAGAGATAGAGAACAGCCCCACCCTTCAGGTACCCTTGCTGCCTGTGTGCAGGAGATGCTTCCAGCTCTACAAACTTCTGCTTCTAACTTCAGATGATCTCCATTCTGGGATTCTCCTTTGAACACCAGAGAGTCACAGGCATCACTCCATGCTGGAGACCTCCTCTTGGGTGCCCAAGAGACATCCAGCTTATTAGGATTGTCCTCAGATTCTTCCTCTGTTTCCCTTGATCCTTCTTCCTACTGTCTTCATCATTTACACACACATACACACACACACACACACACACACACACACACACACACACACACACACACACACACACACACACACACACACACACACACACACACACACACACACACACACACACACACACACACACACTGGCAATGCCTTCTAGCCAGTTGCTGGGGGACAAACCCTTCAAGCTCTCTTTGCCTGGTTTCTCATATTCCACACCTGAATTCTTAGCACATTTGCTGCTTGTGTGGCTGAAGCACACACTGCCTCCTACTCCTCAAATTTCTGAGTCCTTTCACTTGCTGGTCCCTCTGCCTGGAACATCCTTTCTCTTGAATACTCATATGTGTCATTTCCATGCAACACAGAGGTCTCTGGCCCCAGGTTACCTTATTGGAGAAATCTTTTCTGGCTTCCCCAGCTGAAAAAGCATCACTGTCTCCCTTCTTTGTGCTCTCTTAAGTGTCTTCGTGTTCCACATATTTTATGTATGCCACCTGTTTGCTTATTCTATGAACCACTCCCTTCCTGGATGGAGAAGACTCTGCCTCTAAGTGCAATGTCCGCCTCACATATCCAGCAGGCAACTGGGTCTCTGACCACTCACCAGCCGGGAATTGTAGATGGGTGGTTTGATGGGTGTGGCCACGGGGCAGTTGATTCGCTTCTCCTTTTGGCGTCGGTTGCAGAACCAGACCCTCACCACCTCCTTCTCCATGGATAGCTGCTCAGCGATCATGGAGATCTCTTCTGAGCTGGGCTTGGGGTTCTATAGAGACCAAGGGCACAGAGTGTGGTCAGGAAGAGGAAAGAGGGTCAAGTCAAAAGTTAGAGGCAAGGGACAGGTGCTCCAAAGCAACAGGACTGAACAACACATGGATAAAAAAATGTTCATGTCGAACCTGGATGGAGTACAGGCTTTCTCACTTACTATGTGTCCTCAGGGAACTTTTTAACTTCTTAGACTTTTTGACTATGAGAATAGTAGTATCTAGTGTGAGGACTACTGTTAAGGATTAACCAGGAAAATGTGTGTGATCTGCCGAACATAAGGCATGATGTGGAACAGGTGCCCCAGATCTGTGAGATTTCTTCTTCAACTCCTTCAGGTGAGCCAGGTAGAGCACCCCAGAATCCATGTGTCCTGGTGTTCTTTCCTCACAGCCCGATCTCTTCCCCTTGTCATTTCTTCCTGTCTTCCTACTTCACAATGGGAACCAAGAAGGGTAAATCACCGTGGTCCCATTGAAACCGTGGGAAAGACAGACTGACTCAAGGTTGTCACTCCCTCATTCTGACCTCACCCACACAGCCTTTGATCTCAGCGCCTTCCCTTGATTCCTACACCTCCCTTAAACTTACAGCTTTGAGGAACCCGGCAGGAAGGAGTGCTTGGTTTAAGTGCCTGGCCCTCTTATTGACTGCAGCGTCCAGGGTCCTGTTAATGCAGACCCTGGGAGGCAGCAGAGATGGCTCTAGGAATGAGCTCCCGCAGAGCAGGTAGGAGATCTGGGTTGAGGTCCCAGGTCCTTGTTCAGCCCCAGCCAGGGGCACAGCAGGGACTTGGGCAGTAAATCAGCAGATAGGAGCTCTCTGCCACTATCTGTCTCTCTGCCTCTTGAATAAATAGCTTTTATTTATTTTTTTTTTTAAGAAAAGAGGGGCTGAGCCTGGTGTGATAGCGTAGTGGTTAAAGTCCTTGCCTTGCACGTGCCAGGATCCCATATGGTCGCTGGTTCTAATCCTGGTGGCCCTGCTTCTCATCCAGCTCCCTGCTTATGGCCTGGGAAAGCAGTCGAGGACGGCCCAAGGCCTTGGGACCCTGCACCCGTGTGGGAGACAAGATGAGCTCCTGGCTCCTGGCTTTGGATTGGCTCAGCTCTGGCCGTTGTGGTCACTTGAGGAGTGAGCCATCAAATGGAAGAGCTTCCTCTCTATCTCTCCTCCTCTCTGTATATCCACCTTACCGGAAAAAAAAAAAAAAAAGAAAAGAGGTGCTGGCGTTGTTCCATAGTGCATTAAACCACTTCCTGTGACACCAGCATTCCACATGGGAGCTGCCTTGAAACCTGGATCCTCCACTTCCAATCCAACTTCCTGCTAATGCACCTGAGTAAGCAGCAGCAGATGACCCATTGTGCTTGGCCGCTGCCACCCAAGTGAGAGACCTGGAAGAACTCCTGGGAGCCTGGCCTTTGTCTTTGTACAAGTCTGACCACTGTGGACATTTGGGACAATTAGCCAGCAGATGAAGACCTCTCTCTCTCTCTCTCTCTCTCTCTATCTATCTCTGTTACTTTGCCTTTCAAATAAATAGAAATCATTTTCAGTAGGATATAGCTATGAAGTCCCTGAGCCAGGGACACTAGGACATGGCTCAGGGACTTGCTGTAGGACTGCAAATTTAGAGGCCTGGGGCCTGCAAAGGCCGGACAAGGCCAAGGGCCCTTTAAAGCTTCAGAGGTTGGTATCTGACAGACCATGTCTAGAAGCTATTTTGACCACACCTCTTTTCCCTTCATCTCTGTCCCAATTTCCTTGGGGTTCAAAGCTTCCATATATGGGCTTGAGAATATGCTCTAGCCACAAGTTAAAAAACATGTGGGTAAGTGAAATTATTAAATATATCTCAAAAATAGGATTGCTGGATTCTCTGTCATTGTTTATATCTACAATATCATGATATACTTGAATAGCAGAATGATGGACTTATGACTATTTTTGAAGAACTATACTATTATAAAAGCATATAGGAAATTAGTAGGGGTAGAGGAATTGGGGGGAGGGGAAAATCCCTGATCCTATTGGAACTGTGTCTTAAAAAAAGTATGGGTATAGGAGAGAAATGTGTGTGGAAAGAAGGACTAGGAGGAAATGCCTTTGGGTGGCCTTTAGTGGTAAAATCATGTTCTTTTCTCTGTATTTTCCAAATTGCTCACCATGAGCATTCACTACACTGGTCATTTGAAAGAGACAAAACATGGAAATTAGAGAGTTCATACAAAATGCTTTGGCCTTGCTCCACTCAGCTCAGCTGGATATAGAGATACAACTTTTGAGACTCCACACCCCATGCTTTAAACCTTCCAGGGAGAGGGATGACAGGTCTAATAGGGCCAGGACAAGGAGGTTCAGTAAGAGAAGAAATTCCTGGGGCCCCAGATGAAGGGTATCCTCCCACTCATATCCCTGGTACCCAGAGAGGGAGGGTGTCTGCTTTCCCATCATCTCCTAGCACAAGGTATGGGCGTGGGGATTGCTATCCAGGTGCCTGTGTGGTTCTCAGTCCCAGGCAGGTGTATACTTGCTGGCATGCCTGTGCAAGCTAACCCACCTGCTCCCACCTGCCACAACTACTCACATCTTGAAATCTCTTCTCCAGAGTCAGGCGGATGTTGGTCTCGATGCTGGTCCGCTTCTTCCTCTTCCTCCCAAACACTTCGCTGAGACTGGGGTAAGAACTGGGCGTGCTCACTGAGGGGTCTGATGGAGAAGACTCTGTAGGGAAGTGAGGGAGCAAGGGGAGCTTAGAGGAGGCCATGAAAGGCCAGTTCAAGCCCAGCCTTGCTGGACTGTGAGATCCAAGAGACCTTCTCAGCAGCATAGTCAAGGACCAGCCCCGCCCCAGCTGGAGACCCAGAACCCTAATTCTCCTTGTTGCTCTGGGCAGAGGTCCTCAGGGCTCACCCTGCAGAGTCTTCACTGTTTGCAGTCACAGTTGAGGGAAGCCAAGACATTGCTGGCATGTATGGGTGTGAGTGGGTGCAAGCAGAGCTCCGAAAAGTGACATGGGTAGGTCTGCGTTTTACAAATATGCCTGCTTGTGAATACTAGGTAAAATGTGAAATGCCCTTGTAATCCCAATGCCATGGCTCTCAGTGCAGAGTGTTGGTGCTGCAGTTAGTGCAACTGTTAGTGCTTCAGTGTGTGACAAGAGAGGGATGGCCCTTGGGAAGGAGTCAGGCAATATGATTTGGGGTTGGGAGTGAAATCACATTAAGAATGATCTATCAGACCCTCTCCCAAAGATGCAAAAACTTTCTGCATATTTCTTTGCACAGTGCTATCCTCAGGTACCCCATTGTGGGGAGCGGTTTCATTGTCCTCCCCACTCATTCCCCCATGCCTCTGGCTGGGTAGATTCTCCTGGCTTCCCACTCTGTCTTGAATGCACTTGCCATAGTAACTGCTAATCCATAGGCATTCCCTGGCTACAGTCCAGCCCTGGGTCCTGCCTCACTTCCTTGTTCCCTACCCAGATCTGTTTGCTCAGTCAGGTGGACCACTGGGCACCACCACCTCTACCACTTGCCATCAGGACACTGAGCATTGTCTGGAGACATTTTTTGGGTAGTACCAGATTGGGGGAAGTGCTGCTGGCAACTGCTGAGTAGGGACCAGGGATGCTGTCCTACAACATATTTGCCAATTTCCTACAGCAGAAAAGGATACGGCCCTAAATGTGCAGAAACCCAGGCCAGGAACTCCTGGCCTGTGCTCGTCCTGGACATTCAACTCTTGGCTTAATTGCTTTATCCCTTAGCGAATGCCCTTGACCTCCTGGATTATCTCCTACCACTAGCACATGCAAACCCTGCTCCTGCTGCAAAATCTCTCGCTGGCAAGTGTGGCTCACAGGCCTTCCTGATCCCTGAGAACTAAGCAGGTGAAGACTTTGTGTTGTACCTACAACCTCCCTTTCCCACCAAGACCTGAAAGCACCCTGCCTCCCTCACTTAGACGGAAAAGAGTATGGCTAAGCATGTGTACCTGGCATACCCAAACCTTGCCTCATCCAGGGAGCGGTCCTAAGGCCTACATTGGGTGGCTGTGGGGTAGGAAATGGAACAAGACAAGTCTTCTTGGCCAGAGAACTAAAGCTGGATCCTGTAAAGGGGCTCTCTTGGTAACTACTGTGTCCTGTCTCTTAACTGGCTCTGGATTCAGGAGGGGAAGAAAGGTGTGTTCCATTTGGACTCCCTCTAGCCCCAGCATGGACACATCTCCAGTTTCTTCCCACAGAATCCTGTCTAGGGTCCCATCTGTTCCTACCCTGCAAGGCCCACCTGCGTCATTCAGCCACTTCTCCAGCAGCGGCTTGAGCTTGCACATGTTCTTGAAGCTCAAGTTGAGGGCTTCAAAGCGCGAGATGGTCGTCTGGCTGAAGTCATTGCCATACAGCTTTCCCATGGCCAGGCCCACATCTCCCTGGACAGCAGGGTGGACAGGCAAAGACATGAGAGACAGGTCCCCTCTTCTACCTGGCCTTCACCATCCTATCACCCAGCACACAACCAGACCCTTGCAGCACCTGCCTAACACCCTTAGCACTGGCTTACTTCTTCATACCCTTACCTGGACCCCATTCCATTCCCCTCCACCACCAATGTTCTATTTCCCTCCTGACACCAACTACACCCTATGTTCAGGCTGCCTGAGACATGATGAGCTTGTCCCAAACATGTCAAGCCTTGGGTTGCTCTTGGAGTCCATACTTGGGAAGCCCTGAACCCACTTACTCACTCACTCAGCTCACTTCCTTTCATCTCCTTCTCTCAGGAGCCAAACCTGTGTGAAGCCCAGTTTAATGCGCCTTTGCTTGAAGGTCTTGGCAAACCTCTCCAGTTCCTCAAGGTCACTGGGCTCATCGGGCCCTGCAGAGCTGGTCAAGTGCTTGGGCCCTGGCAGGTGCTGGGATGCTTCCAGGTGTGGTTCTAAGGTGGATCCTGGCAGCCCGGGACGGCCGACTGCCTAATAGAGAACACAGGACAAGTGGGACCTCAGAGATTCTACAGAGCCAGCAGCACTGCCTGGCAGTCTTTACAAGCAGGACACTGAGAGGATGGCCAAGCCCCGTGCCCACTGGGATTCCACTGCTTGGTGGCATGAAAGTGGAAACTGGCTTTCTGAGAAGGTACGAACACACTGGCTTGTCTGTGGCAGAACCAGCAGGGCTGCCAAGCGGGAGGGAGGTGGCCTTGCTAGGTTTTTGCTCATGACTCACTGTTTGAACAAGCTACTTCCTTCTTTCAGTCTTCCACCGTACAAGGAACTAACAAGGTTGTTGAGAAAGATTCCCCCAAACAAATCTCAGAATGGGACAAAGGAGAAGATTGTTTGCCTGGCCTGTTCTTTTCCACAAAGTGTTGAAATTGAGATGCCCACCAGACACCACTGGAGATACAGAGAACTCACTATGAGAAGTCCCTGCAGCTCCAAATGCTTGCGAGCATCACTGAACTGCCTGCACCACTGCTTTCTTCTATAGAGTGTTTTGCTTTCATCAGGACATTTTTTTAAAAAGATGTATTTTATTTGAAAATCAGAGTTACAGAGAGAGAAAGAGAGACAAAGAAAGATCTCCCATCCACTGCTTCACTCTTCAAATGGCCACAATAACCAGAACTAAGATGATCCGAAGCTGGAAGCAGGAAATTCTTCCAGGATTCCCACGTGGGTACAGGGGCCCAAGGACTTGCACCATCCTTTGATGTGTTCTTGGGTACATTAGAAGAGGGCTGCATCAGAAGTGGAGCAGCTGGGACTTGAGCCAACACCCATATAGGATGCCAGCACCACTGACAGAGGCTTGACCTACTCTATTATGCACCTTGCTCTCATTTGTGGTTGCCAGGAGATTGTCTTTCTTTAGCTTATTCTCATAACAAAATGTGCCTTTAAACTTGGAACCATGCTGAACCCATTTAGGGTTCCATTCCATCGGTAAGGGAGTGAAGTCCAGACCTTGGGGTCCAGGCACTGGGTCTAGGGCATAGTTCCTGCCTACATGGGTAATTCAAGCTAACTCCATCTTTCCACTGCTTTACTTGTCTACTCTTTCCTCAGATCCAAGTTAGCGCCTGTCTTCAAAGACACCTAGGCTAACCATTTAGATGGGTCTCCTTGTAGAGAAACAGGAAAAAGGACTAAGTAGATGGTATTCTGAAGAGTCTTTCATCACAAAAGGGCTGGAGAGCATCACGGACTCACTCCTGTTTGCTTTTGCCATTTGCCAGATCTTCCCTTAGGTCTCTGCAAGGCCTTCCCCCCTCACTCCGCTTCACATCCGGTCAGCTATCAAATTGCACCTGACACGACTTTCCTCATTTCAGTCTTCCAAACATTATCTCTCCCCCCAGTGACTTCATACTTGGCTCTAAAACATGAGAGCTGATTTCGAGTTCTCTTTAGAATATCTTTTCCGGGTCTGTGATGAAGCATTTTAGGCGAGAGCCACCAAGAGGAGGTAGAGAGAAGCGTCTGACTCTGGCGTCCCACTTTCTTTCAACCACCAGGTGGCATCTTCTCCCTGCCAGGCAGCCTTCCGAGAACTCTGGCAAGCCAGAACTCTGAGTTGCTGGTTGTTGGCACAGGGCAGGGACCATAGCACCTCTGCAGCCGACTCCGACTAGAGTTCCAGACATCTGCGTGGGCAGCGCCATCCCACGGAGCTCTGTAGCAGGGTCCCCCGGGGTGCAGACAGGAGGGGCAGCTAAGTTCCTGTGCGGCTGTGATCGCCCAACCCTTGACCATGGCATGAGGTTGCTGCTGGTAGAGAAAGTGTTGCTTTCTCCCTAGTAGGCAGACCTCCTCATCTGGTCAGATAGCCCTCACAGCTGTCACTGGTCACTGTGCCCCAGTCTTAGATATTACTTGGGGAAGGACTTCAGGAGCTGGTGAGAGAACAACAAAGGGTTAACAGCAAGTGTTTTGTTGAGAAAGCAGAGGTGCTCCTTCCACAGAGTGGGGGGTGTCCTTGGAGGGGAGTGACCAGGCTCTGAACTGCCTTGCTATGGGTGGTATCATGAAGGGGAACAGGTATGTTCTAATGAATGAGGGAGAGGAAGTCACTTTTTTTCCCCCCTGGAAGTAGGTGGAAAGTTCTTGGAATCCAGCTACCTCTTCTGGCTCATCACGTGATCCTGTGCACCTTGTCATAGTGGCTGGTGGGTGTGTGCCATTAAGCCCGAAGGGGATTGTACCGAGCAGAGAACAGGCTGTCAACTACTCTAGGTTAGAGTAAACTGGGATGAACCATCTCCAGACGGGAGCTTGGTTTGTCTTCGGAGCAAGGGAGGATCAAATTGATACTCCATGGGTTTTGAGAGAAGAGGAACTTTTCTCTTCTTTGGCTTCAACTGCAAGGGGAAGCCTGGAATGGTGGCCCACAGGTGTGCTAAGACATCTGGTCCCCTTGGGGCTTGAAAGCACTTGGGCATCCCTGGCAGCCTGCATCATGGAGCAGGTGGGGCTAGGAGTTGCAAAATCCGGCTTTTGGTTCTGGCTCACATGGGCAAATTGTCTGCCCCAGTTATCACTTGGCTTTCCCCATATGCCAACAAGAAGAATGCCTAGCCATTTCCACTTCCCGAGGGGGGAAGTGGAAAAGAGAGAGCTTAACTGTCCTCAAAGAAGGGATCTTACAGGATTGGGATGGGAGACCAGAGGTGGGGAGTGGCAGGAGATGCAGTTGTTTACCTGGGATGCGAGGCCAGGCCCCGTCTGTGGGAGGAGGAGACTGCTTTGCTGCTGCGGAAAGGGGAGAAGATTTGGCTGCAGACCTGGGTGAAAGGGTAGGGACAAAGGAACAAGAGAATAAAACCCAGGCCTTGTGAAAGATATGCTCTGCAACTGATAATGCCCCCTCCCCGCTCCTTCAAATCCTGTCCCTCAGCCCACCCCGGGCCCCATGGAAAGGCCCCTGTGGGCAAGGCTGGGCATTGCCACATACAGGTGGAGACAAATCGAAGCCAAGGATAAACAGAGATGTAAACAACAGCTCCCCAACCAGTCCTGCTAGACTGGCCTCCTAGAGAGGCCAAGGAGGGTCAGGTCTACCCTGGAATCTCATGTCCATGGCTGCAGAAACTCAGTGAGGGATGGAGAGGGAGTGAGAGAGAGGAAATGGGGGGAATGAGGTGGTATGTGGGCTATTATTAGAATTCCAGCTGGGAAGGAGGGGGCTCAAGGGGCTGTAAATGTCAAGCTGAATTTGCAAGAACATCTGGCCAGACTTGGGGGCCACACAGCTGTAGGGGGCAGGGCCACAGAGAATGTCTTGCCCTTAGGAAGAAGAGCTGAGAGAGAAGAGAGGAACAGGGCCAAGCTTCTGGACACTCCACTTGGCGGTGTGGGTACACCTGCTTCCTGCACTACATGGGCCCTGCCATCCTTCCTCCCCAGGAAACTCGTCTGTATAGGGCACTGTCTACTTGGCAGCCATGATGGCTGGCCTCCCTCTTGGGATGGCCTCAGCCAGGACCTTAATCTTACTGTGGGAGTGAAACCAGCTACTCAATGAGGCAGACACTGAGCACACAAGGTGTTTCCCAGAAACACCTAGGGGTCCCTGTTGGGATCACTGATGTAGGGTATGTGCTGATGTTAAGCTTTATGTTCCACAGGCTCAGAAACATAGGGCTTAATTGGTCCTTATTAAAATAAGTGGGCAGGGACCAGCATAACTTGTTAAGCCTCCACTGAGATGCCAGGATGCTAATATTGGAGTACACTGTCAACTCCTGGCTACCCTGCTTCTGATCCAGCTTCCTGCTAATGCACTCGCTATTAATAAACTTAAGTACTTGGATTGCTGCCACCCACATGGGAGACCTGGATAAAGTTCTAGTATTGGTTTTTAAAACAATCTGGGAAGTAAATCACAAGAAGGAAGCTCAACCTCTTTCTCCTCTGTCACTCAGGCTTTTGAATAAATAAGTCTTAAAAACTACAACAAAATAGTGGCTTGTGCCATGGCTCAACAGGCTAATCTTCTGCCTGCAGTACCAGCATTCATATAGGTACTAGTTCGTGTCTTGGCTGTTCCACTTCCCATCCAGCTCCCTGCTTGTGGCCTGGGAAAGCAGTGGAGAATGGCCCAAAGCCTTGGGACCCTGTACCCATATAGGAGACCTGGAAGAAGCTCCTGGTTCCTGGTTTCAGATCAGATTGGCTCAGCTCCAGCTATTGCGGCATTTGGGAAGTGAACCAGCAGATGGAAGATCTGTCTTTCCTTTTCTCTGTATATCTGTCTTTTCAATAAATCTTTAAAAACTATAATAAAATCAATATGCAAGAAAGGTTCCAGAAAGAACTGGGAGTCCAGAGGCTTGAGTGTTAACAGTGATTCTAATACTTCTTTTGCATTTTGAAATGGACAAAGCATTTTGACATGCATCATTTCAACTAACCCTTATTGTGTGAGGTTTTACTGTAATCCTATTTGTATAGAACAGGGAACAGAAGCCCATAGGAGCTTGGTAAGTTTCCCAAGGACACACAGCTAGGAAGTGCTTTTCTTTTATTACTGGCTCCAATTTTTTAACTTTTCCCTCTTCACTGTCCGCATCTCGGGCTCCATGGGTGGGCCATTTTCACTTTATTCTCTAGTCTTTTGCAAACGAACTGAACAAACTGCTATCTTTCCTTTCCTAATCCAGGAAAGGGAACAAGAAAGTGTTCTTGTTCACACCAACACTGTTTTGAGGGTCTTGGGGACCAAGGCTGTGGACTGCAAGGAGCACAAGTGCCGGGGCGGGGCAGGAGGTGGGGTGGCTGCAGTGGGAGAGGCATCTAGGGTGCTGGCCAAGAGTATGGGAGTTTGTCATACTGTCCAGGAACTTTATTTTTTTTTAAAGCTTTCTTTATTTCCTGGAAGATGGTTGTGGGGAACTGGGGGTGGGAGCAGGAAGAGAAATCTTCCATATGTGGGTCCACTCCCTCAATGGCTGCAATAGCTGCGGCTGGGCCAGGCTGAAGCCAGGAGTCCAGAACGCCATCCAGGCCTCCCATGTGGGTGGCAGCAGCCCAAGCACTAGGGCATCCTCTGCTGCCTTCCCAGGCATATTAGCAGGGAGCTGGGCTGGAAGTGGAGCAAACTTCCACTGGTGATCTGATACAGGATGCTGGTGTGGCAGGTGGCAGCTGAGCTTGTAGTGTTGCAACATTGGCTTGGTGTTTTACAACCTTATAGTATAATACTCCTATGACTACCTACCACACAGTGTTATTATAAGGAATGAGTTGAAAACGGCATCATTTGCTAGGAAGTATGGCCTGCTGTTAGGAATAGTTGAATCTACAACTGTTCTGGGGACCACTTCCTCGCTAAATAAAAAACCTTGTCTCCAGCCTGTAGGTGGCACTGCTGCTCTAACCCAGCACAGTCCCAGCCAGGCTTCCAGGAAGAAAAGCTTTGAGATTTCCAAGGAATTAGGTCTTGTCTGCACTGTATGTTGCAGGGGCTGTTTCTCTCTTGTCCTGCAACCCCACACCCCACTCTATCCCCGCCCACTATCACTGTGGAAAGGGCCGGCAGGAGGCTTCACACCAAAGGGGTGAGCCAGGCACCCTGCTCTGCTCTCTGCTCCCTCACCCCAGCAATGATGAGCCTTTGCTGTCCCTGGGCTCCAGGGAACTGCCAGATTTCTTACCTTGCTGCCCAGGCTGGGTCTGAGAGAGTAGGAACTGGGACACAGACTGCAAGTGGCCAGGCACCAGCACGAGCTGCTGGAGTGGGTGGAGGGAAGCCATGTCCTGCACACATGGAGGAGATAGGCACACATCACAGGGTTTACAAGCTGAGGACACTGGCTGCACCTGCTGCCACCCATCTGGCCCGTGGGTCTCCAAGGCTGGGAGAGTCTGCTGCCTACGTCCCCAGCGTCTGGCCTCTAGTAGTTGCTCCCTTTACACTGCTGTACTAACAGCACTGCACCCAGTGCTGAGTCTTTGCAACAACATATTGTTACTTAACTCTGGCTGCACAATTTAATTGGAGCGTGTCAGTCCTGTCTCCCAACTAGACTATAAATGCCCTGAGGGCTGAGACCGGCTATTACCCAGGGCTCAAAGCTCGATCCTAGAAATGGCAGGCACTCTCAGTTCTTCTTTTTAAAAAAATCACATGCCACTAATTTATGCTAAAAGCCATGCTTTGGTCATTTCCAGTGCCTAACTCTTTCCCTGGAGAGGAAACTGGGGTGTGGGAGTTGGGGGTGGGTGAGCTATCAGTCCTTAATAAAACCAGTTTAGTGAATCAGCAAGTCCATTGCCTGTGAGTTCTTCCCTCCAGCCCAGGATGCAGGGATACGGAATACAGACACCCAGTATGTGGGTGGGGTGGGGGCTGGTGGTCCTCTGTGGTGCAGAGCTCACTTAGCTTAGTTCTGTGCCCAGGGAGATGTGGGGATCCCTGCTGTGGTGGGGAGGAGGGACAGGGATTCTCACAGGCTACAGTAAACATTTCTGGAACAGGAGGGGGTTCTTGCTTCCCCAGCATCCTTGCTAGGTTCAAGCCACATGTACTTGAACTTAGGCTGTGTGCACTGGTCACTGTGTCAGCATCTTCTGCCTTCCTACCCCTGACTCCTGCAATCCCAGAGCACTGCATTCTCCACTAAGGACCCCACTGATACTCCTTCGGGAATATGGCTGGTGGACACCTGCTATTCAGTGCCAGGCCCCTGGCCCAGCTCTGCCTGTGGGAGGAGAGCTTGGTAACCCCATTTCCTCTCCCACATCTCCCTGAATCTCTTCCTCCTGTGGCCTGCAGGAAGCTCCTTGGGAAAGTTTATACTCATAGATTGCCAGGTCAGAAGGCCCAGCCGCTGGCAAAGGGATGGCACAAACCCTACCCCAAGCACACCCCAAGCACAAGGGCCCCATGGCATGGTGTGGAGAGGGCCAGGGGGCGCTTACCCCAGACATTTGGTTTCCAGACATCATGGCAGGTGCCTGACTCAGGTGACATGGCCGATGGGGGAGGGTCTGCTGTAGAGAGTCACTGAGGTCTTCCGTCTTAATCTGCAGTTGGAGGCAGGAGGAGAGTGTCAGCCCTGGGCACCTCAGGCTGACAGAAGTACTAAAGTGGAGAAGGCCAAGGCTGGCGACGAAGATGCCAGCCCCATGCCCACCTAGATACAGTTGGATTATCTTGCACCTGCACGTGTTGTATGGCCAGGACTGGTCAGATACATGTGGGCATGGTACGCTGGAGGATCCCTCTGCAAGATGGGGGATCTCTTTTGGCTGACGGTTCCCAAAAGTTATGCTGGGGCTGTGCCAGGACCTGGTGCCGTGCAAGCTCTTTCACGTTGAAATGAAAAATACTATGACATTTCTGTGACTTTAAAAATAATACTTAACAGACTAAATTCTTTGAAGTTCTAAGACAAATTCTTTTTTCCCTCAGGGAAGGAGAAGTGAGAATTTCTTTTATGAAATGATGATGATCCCAAGTGATATTTTTTTTAAGTTTATTTACTTATTTTATTTGAAAGAACAACAGAGAGAAAGAAAGATCTTCCAACTGGTGGTTCACTCCCCAAATGTCCCAGGAACTAGGAGCTCCATCTGGGTAACCCACATGGGTGGCAGGGGCCTAAGTACCTGAGCCATCTTCCACTGCCTTCCCAGGTACATCAACAGGAAGCTGGATTGGAAATAGTGCAGCTGGGAGAGTAACCGGCACTCCAGTCTGTGATACCAGTGTCACAAGTGGAGGCTTACTTTGCTGAGCCACCACACTGAACTTGTTCTAGAGATTGGGAGACAGAGAGACAGACACACAGATGCCTATCTAGAGATATAATCCTCTGTTTTACTCCCAAATGCCCACAAATGTTCTGTTTATTTATTTGAAAGGCAGTGAGACAGAAATAGAGCAAGAGCGAGAATGAGAGGGAGTGAGAGAGGGAAAGAGAAAGAGAGAGAATCCACTGGTTCACTGGTTTACTCCACAAATGCCCACAGTAGCTGGTGCTCACCTGGACTGAAGCCGGGAGCCAGGAATTCCATCTGGGTCTCTCATGTGGGTAGCAGGGACCCACCTTCTTGAGCCACCACCACTGCCTCCCAGAATTTGCACTAGCAGGAAGCTGGAGTCAAGAGCCAGAGCTAGGGATCTAACTCAGGCACTGTTAATCCATGTCAACCCGTGGGCCAAAACCCTGCCCCTGTTTCTGCTTTTGCTGCATGGAAACCCATCCACGAAGCCACCAGAGGTGGGAATCCCTTGTTTGGAGGACTCTTTCTCCATGCCTGCCTTCCGTTGCGCTCAGCCGCCTCTGGGGGCCTCCTGACCTGTGTGGCTCTGGTGGCAATCTTTGCTTGTCTCCCTACAGGTTTGAGCATGTCTGCCCCAGAACCACTGCTGTAGTTACAGTCTGAGGAGCCCCTGGGGCTCTCTACACTCTCCAGTGGCTACCATCCCCCCACTGGCAGCTCAAACTGGCCACTTGTGGGCTTCCCAGGTGTCCCAGGGCAGGAAGCCCCGTCTGTGTCCACCTCTCCTTCTAGCCCAAGGATGACAACCCTCTCACAGTTTTTTTTTTTTTCAAAATTTATTTGTGTTTATTGGAAAGACAGATTCAAAGAGAGGAGAGACAGAAAGATCTTCCATGCACTGGTTCACTCATTAGGTGGCTGCCACAGCCAGAGCTGAGCTGATCTGAAGGCAGAAGCCAGGAGCTTCCTCCAGGTCTCCCACATGGGTGCAGGGTCCCAAGATTTTGAATCTTTCTCAACTGCTTTCCCAGGCCACAGCAGGGGGCTGGATGGGAAATGAAGTCAGAACATGAACTGGCACCCATATGGGATCATTGTGTATGCAAGGTAAGGATTTAGCCACTAGGCTATATCGCACCAGGCCCATCTGAACTTTTTAGGAAGCTCCTGGGAGCACAGGATCTAGACCACACCTTAAAATAAGACATGGCCAAGGTACTCTCATTGGGACATCTGGTTGATCCCATCCCAGACAGAAGCTCTTGGCTATAAAGAGTCTGTGAGAGAACCTTTTCTTGGTCTATGCTGTCAAAACCACTGGTATCCGAATCTTGGAACCTGAGTTCAGCACTGCAGACTAACAGCTGTACTTGCACTTGGTCCCCCTGGAGAACAACGTCTCCAGTCAGCAGGGAAGAACTCAGCCAGACAGTTCAGAAGCTTCTACCAAGTGACATTTGGGAAGGAGGGAAGGATCAGGGTGCTCCATGGGGTGTCTTGCTCCCAGCAGGAACCAGTGGGCCTCGGTTGAAGAAAGAACATACACGAACACATCTCTACACTTGCAATTAGGCAAAGTACAGACAGACCGGAGCTGAGGTGCCCTTGCTTTCAGGCTTGCCTCTACTTCCTCTGTTATCTCAAGCAATTGCTCAGGCTCTGTGGGACTCAGTTTCCCCATCTGCTGCCTGTGTGCGTGGTGATGGGGGGTGGGAGTTGGGTGGGTAGGGGGTGTTCTCCCTTTTGGTCCTGACATGGAATTGACAAGTATAGTCACTAACACGCATGGAAGACCTGGCTAGTTCAGGGTGTTGCAGAGTTCTCACAAATCCAACTTAGGTGACTCTGGACAACCCCAGTCATGAGGAGCTGGGAGTGGAGGGGAAATGGCTCTTAGAGGGACAGTCTTAACAAACCACTCCTCTCTCTTGAGGAAACCCTTTTGGAGCCTGGGAAGCAAAGAGGAAGAAGGAAAAGAGATAAGGAATAGCACTACAAAGAGTTGGACTTTGTGAATATGTGGAAGGCATAGTAGTCTCTAGGCATCCTGCCTTCCCTCCATCCTAGACTTCCCTCCTCTGCTGCTCCAGGCTTGGCACAGCTATTTAAGAAGCTCTGGTGTCTTACAAGGATCTTCAAACGGCTTTCCAAAGGAACAGGTTGAAAAGCTAGTGCATCTTGAGATAAGCGCCATATCCAGTACCCTGAGTTCGAGAGCCAGCGTTGCTCCCAATTCCAGCTTCCTGTTAGTGTACATCCTAGCAACAGTTGATGGCCCAAGTACTCGGGTCCTGACCACCTGCCTGAGAGATCTGGATTACATTCCTGCCTTTTGGCTTCAGCCTGGCTCAACCCCGGCAGCTGCCTCCATTTGAGGAGTGTTTGCAGACAGATCTCTTTCCACTCATTCCCTTCTCTCTGTTGCTCTACCTGTCAAATAAATAGATAAGAATAAAATGTTCCATGGAAAACGCACCTTCTCTTTCTCTTTGAATTCCATTTTCCAGGAATGTTTTGGGGGTAACTTCATAGTTCTGCCCCTAGAAATGAGAGTTTTCACAGCCTAAACTCTGGGTAAACATTTGTAAGCAGCTTGCAAAAATGAGAGACAGATGATAAACTACTTATTGGAGAGCAGCAACAACACACAGCTGTACTGTGAGAGGAGAGTCAATGGTGCCTGCTTTCCCATCCCTTGCTTCCCATCCCCACCTCAGCAGCCTGGGTCCCCCTGGGCCCCCAGGGCAGCCAACCCAAACCCCAACCCCCCCAGAGAGAGGAGAGGGGCTGGGGAGGCTGGCAGGGGGAAAGCCTGGAAGCAGAGGTGAGATTGTGCTGGCGGAGCCGCCCAGGACTGCCTGGCATGGCTCCAGCTCAGAGGCAAGTGGCCGGGTTCCTTTATAGACTCATTATGCACACTAGGCAGATAAGGAGATGCAACTATGACAGAGCTCAAAAACATGTGCTCTGCCTCCAACCTGGGTGCTATCTGTTAGAATCCATGCCAGGTCTGCCTGCAACACTTAATTTCAGAAACCAGTACCACCATGAAAGAAATGCACCCTTTCATCTGCTTCCGGGATCGATTGCCTTCCCAGCTGTTTTGGGGGAGGCTCTCTCGACCCCTGGTCCTGAATACCAACTGTCCAGAACTTTCAGATATGGGTTTGGAGCCTCTGTGTCGTATTCTCTGATCTTCTTCTGATCTCCACCATTCTGTCCTGCGCTCTCTCTCTCAGTTTTCAGAATTCACCACCCCTCCCCACCCCCAAGGTGTGAGGTACAGACAGGAGCCCCAGAAGATGCACCTGGGCAGACTCCAGCTAAGATACAGTAAGGAGGCTTCTTTCTCGAGCACAGCAGAATGAAGGGCTCTGCTGAAAGACTGGAAAAAAGCAGTTGGGGAGATCTGCAGACAACTCCCACCTCCCCCAGCATCCTTCTCGAACACTCTCAGGGGGCAAAGAACCCAAGAGATAAAGTCCCTCTCAGTACAAAAAAAAAAATCCCTTTGCACAGCTGTGAGTGGTGAAGGTTGGAAGCTTTCCAGGCAACTGGGTGTTGGCTGTGGATCGGGGAGATGAGATAGAGACTTCTGTTGGATCCTATTGACTTCTAAGGTGAGAACCTCGGGCGAATTGGACGAAAACCCAATTTCTCCCGTGCTTGTGAAAACCTAACCAAACCCACAGCCTGCCTGGAACCCTAACAGTTGTCGCCGGGGTCTCTTTGGTGTTCCTTCTCAGACAAGGGGCTCATTTCTCCAGGTTGCCACTTGGGATGGCTAATCCTGCGGGGAAAGGAGCTACCATGGCATGCTCTTTCCGCCAGGACCCTGAACGTGCCAACTCCACCTGGGACGTTAGGTCTGTTGGTTTAGGATCCTCTCCATCCATTGCACTGTGCAAAGGTATCACACGGAGTCTTGGGCAGTGACCAGGGAGGTAAAAAGGTATCACGGGCGATGATCTTTTCTAATCCCAGTGAACTCCCTGACATCACTTGGGTTAGAAAGCAGTAGCTCACACTGGAGGTGGAAGCCCTTTACATACTTCTTACTTGGCCTTCTGTCCCAGCTGGAGGGGTGAGGACCAGCGTTGATCTTCCCATTTCACAGAAGCCCAGAGAGACAGACAAGAAGCTGCACAGCAGGACGCTAGCCAACCCGTGAGAAGACCCCCTCCCTAGGTGCTTGCTCCCAAGCAAAACTACAAACATCTAGGGAATACAGGGTGAGGGGTAGGGGAATACTAGAACGGGGCCTCTTCATTGACCACCTGTTTTGGAGTTGTCAGATG